TTCTGTCAGTCTGCCCCAGGGCAGCTGTGGCTACAACTGTAACTTGTAACTCCACCAGTGTGTGAATGTGTGTGTGAATGGGTGGATGACTGGATGTGTAAAGCGCTTTGGGGTCCCTAGGCGGGACTAGTAAAAGCGCTATACAAATACAGGCCATTTACCAAAAGATTGCACTACAGTTTTGTCATACTATGATTTAACAGAACAAAGACCAATGAAGCATTTCTCTCCAGTTTGACTTCTGTTCTTGGTTGTCTTAGCAGACTAGACCAAACCTAATATAAACTAATACAGCCAATTCACTGATAGTTTAAAGGGGGGGGGGGAGCAAAATAAGGGTTATCATCAACATAAAGCCTCATCTCCCTCCCTCGAAACAATAATGGTACATGACATTTGTATTCATTTTTCCTTGTACAACTCTTAATCCATCTCACTCCCTAAACTGTCACTCAGTCATCAAAACTCTGGGAAACCCTGCTTTATAAGGACAAGTGGATCTAAACTATGCTGGCAGAATGTCGCTCGCAGCGTAACAGACCCAATGGAACCCACTCACCACAGGGTCAATGCTCATGTTTTTACTTTAATTTGTTACCCATGTGTATATGAGCCTCAGGTGAAGTTGTTTTCCCTCATATCCAGAGAGACAAAAACAAACAGTTGTATGTCTCCCTCTCTGGAGACAAACAGAGAGCCTAAGCATGTGTGTCAGTGTGTGGAAAACTCACTCGGAGGCGGTGAACAGGTGGCTGCTGTTGGCAGAAATGCTGTTGATGGGGCTCTCGTGACCCTTGAGCTCCCCCAGTGTCCCTAGAGTGTCTGTGTGCCACAGCTTGAGCACCCCGCCTCTGCATCCACTCAGCAAGGCTGGTGATCCAGGGACGACACCAAGTGCACAAACCCAGTCACGGTGAGCATTTGGGACTTGCTGAGCACAGAGATGCATAGCAGTATGGTTAATAGTGAGAATGTCATGAATGGTTGATGTTTTTGTAACTTACTGAAAGATTATGATCATAATTATGCAATCACTACAGTAACTAGAGGGTATCATATGGAAAGACTTCTTTTTCTTAATGTAAAGTCATGTGAAAAACTGTACTTTTACTTTACTATCGGCTATTATGTGACAAAGAATGTGAGAGCAAGGGCAGAGTTTTCTGCACACTGATTTACAGCAGGTTTTCCAGGAGAAAATCTCTGGAAAGACAATAATGGTGATAAAAAAAGGAGGAAATAAAAATATTTTAGGCTACTTTTGACAGTTATAAAATCAAAATGCAAAAAAAAAATCTATATTGCATCAAATGGAACAAACATCTGAGCGTCTCCTATCCATATTTCTTTTTGCATTGATCATCTAGTACCTGCAGTAGGTCTTTACGGTCTAGGTCCCACTTTTTGATGCCATTGTCTCGGGAGCCGCTGAAGAAAATGTCCCCTTGGATTACCAGAGACTCGATACCGTCATAATGTGGTGGTTCAAAGTTGTGTGTAGGGCTGATGCTTCCCAGAGAGCCTTCAGTCACGTCAAACAACTGCAACAGCAAAAACAATACATGTTAAAAGGGATGATATGCATCTGAACATAAGGGTTATTATAATAAAAGATAAATAAAATCAGTTAAACATGGGTTATGTAGCATGTCTAACCTAAGCTGTCCTTATATTGCATTACTGGATGACTCAGCTGCACAAAGAATCTCACTTTATCATCTGCCTCAAGAAACAAATGAACATCAGAGAGGTGAAGAGCAGCAGTTTGAAAGCCTGAAACACACCTTAATGTAATGGTCCTTGGAGCCAGTGATAACCAGGTCTTGGCTGTTTCCAGACTGATCCACAGTCAAGCACATAACTGGACCAAGGTGACCAGTAAGCTTTCCAGTAGAGGCAAACCTAATGCAGGAAAGGAAATGTTAATGAGTCTTTTGTTAAACTGTCAAGCCAAAACCACAGGGGAAATGCCAAAATAAAACTTAAATACATGTATCAAATCAGAGTACAAAGAGAAGATATTAATAAAGTAATGATATAGTTAATATATCACTCATGAAAATATGTAAAAATGAGGTTTGCTGAGTTCTGTCTCAGAGAAAATGGGACTGTTCTTATACAGAATACTGATTCACAGTTAATTTAATCATCCAAAGTACCACTTACTGACTGTTACGTTCCTAAGATGAACAAAGAGGCAATTCATCACAGCTAATATCAGGCAGCTGTCAAAAAGGCGTGACAGCTTTGAAATGGATGCTTGTCAGGTTTTCATACATAATTAAGTTCCAAGGCAACACAATGAAATTGGAGTTTGTACTATCTAATGAAGTGTGTATGTCATGCATCTGAAAATGTCAGGGGAAATCATAAACACACGGTCAGTGTTATTGATGTGCATGTGTTTATCAATACCTCCATACAACACATGTTTTAGGAAAAATAAAGAAAAGAAAAAGGTTTTGATCAAACTTTAATCTACGCCTATAAAAAGTAAATCCCAGACGTAATTTGACGTCCTTCTTTTAAAACTCTAGACTTCTTCATCTCCCTCTCAAAACCTTTTCTCCTCAACAATCTTCAGTTTGCCTAAAAACCTTACATGCATACAAACTGCTGTTAAATGTTACATTTTTAAGAAAATACTTTAAAGACCATTTATCTGAAAATTGGTCTGTTGACCCACTTCCACCATGTTGTTTTGCATTTTGAAATCAAGACCAGATACAGCCAAAAATGTTTGAGTCTTAGTTAGTTAAAATATAAAAACAAATCAAGGCAGTGCCCATTTTTTATCGAAGGGGTTTTTTTTTTAACAAAATAAAAAACATATCGAGGAACTTTCTGCATCTACTGAAATGTTTTTGTTATGAGTTTAAAGAGTTATAACTTGTTACTGTAATGCACATAGTTTATAATAATTCATTAAGTCAACTTTGAAGACGTTGGTGGATGTAAGACATATTTTAGAGGTTGTAGGGGTGTAGAATGGTTTTAACTTTTATCAGTATTCATTTAAAACTTTTCAAGCTGTTGTGTGACGTTATATTTACAGACAGAATGACAAGCAAAATAAGGTTACCAAAAACAACCATGCTGGCAGAGGAAAATAAAAACCAAGTGCCACAATAATCTCTACCAAACTCCAAACAATCCACCCAAAAAGTACAATATTTCACTTAAGAAAAATCCCTCAGATTGTTAAATCAGACTGACTGCCACCCTGCTAACCCACTGTCTGGATATTACTTTTGCATTCATTTTGAGTATCTCTGCTTACCTTCTCAGGTCCCAGACCCTGACAGAGTTTCCAGCAGCAGCGTACAGGACTGTGCCATTGGGGTTGAGCGCAATCTGGTTGATCTGATTCTCTCCTGCAGGGATGGTGACTGTCCGGCTGGTGTTGGACGCACAGACATCCCCAACATTAACTTGACCAGAAGACCTGAAGATATATGAATAAAATATGTACAAATATGTAACAATTAGACATAATTAGCATTACAGGAGGTGTAACTTTAAAAACAGGAGTGTCTAGCTCCAGGCCTCAAGGGCCGGTGTCCTGCAGGTTTTAGACGTGTCTTTGATCCAACACCATCCATCCATCTTCATTCGCTTTATCATGGGCCGGGTTGCGGGGGCAGCAGCCTAAGCAGAGAAGCCCAGACCTCCCTCTCCCCAGCCACCTCCTCCAGCTTATCCGGGGGAACA